AAAAAATAATTCAGAAGAGTTAATGCTAATAGACATCAAGAAAAGTGAGAACTATAATGCAATATTAATTCCAGGACAGGAAGCTCCAGTATTTCTCTACATAATCACCATTCAAACATATATTTGTTGTTCTAAGAAGAACCAGAAAATAATTCATCCACCCCAACTTTCCTCACAATTTCAATAGCTTCTAAGACAGAGGTGGGCAAACTATAGCCCGGGGGCCGCACCCAGTCCTCCAGACGTTTTAATCCGGCCCTCGAGCTCCCGCAGGGACTGGGGCTTCCCTGCTCCAGTGCTCCAGCCAGGGAGTGGGATCCAGGGCTTGCCCTGCTCCCTGCGGCTCCTGGAAGCAGTAGCATGTTCCCCCTCCGGCTCCTAAGCGGGAGGCAGCCAATACAATCCTTTCTTTTAATCTGAATCCTCACCTGTCTGGAATTGTGGTTTCAAAAGGTTGTAGATGGCAATCCCTTGTCCCTGCAAAATGAGAGAGTTAATTTGGACACACATTATTGGAAGCCCCATCCATCCACACTACATAAATATTCTGACATAGAAGTTTTCATAGAATCATAGGACTTGAAGGGACCTCGAGAGGTCATCTAGTCCAGTCCCCTGCACTCATGGCAGGACTAAGTATTATCTTCTAGACCATCCCTGATAGGTGTTTGTCTAACCTGCTCTTAAAAATCTCCAATAATGGAGATTCCACAACCTCCCTAGGCAATTTATTCCAGTGCTTAACCACCCTGACAATTACAAAGTTTTTCCTAATTTCCAACCTAAACCTCCCTTGCTGCAATTTAAGCCCATTGCTTCTTGTCCTATCCTCAGAAGTTAAGAAGAACAATTTTTCTCCCTCCCTCCTTTTATGTACTTGAAAACTGTTATGTCCACTCTCAGTCTTCTCTTTTCTAGACTAAACAAACCCCAATTTTTTCAATCTTCCCTCATAGGTCATGTTTCCTAGACCTTTAATCATTTTGTAGCTGTTCTCTGGATTTTCTCCAATTTGTCCACATCTTTCCTGAAATGTGGCGCCCAGAACTGACTGGACACAATCCTAACAAAAAGAACAGGAGTACTTGTGGTACCTTAGAGACTAACAAATTTATTTGAGCATAAGCTTTTCTGGGCTACAGCCCACTTCATCGGATGCATAGACTGGAACATACAGCAAGAAGATATTTTTACATACAGAGAACATGAAAAGGTGGAAGTAGCCATACCAACTGTAAGAGGCCAATCAATTGAGATGAGCTATCATCACCAGGAGAAAAAAAAACTTTTTTCAGCAGGAGAAAAACAAGTTTTCACACAGGTCATTACAGACCCATACTGCAAAGGTAATAGGAGCTATCTACTTTTCCCGTGAAGCCACAATTCTTGACCAGTCACACTGTTGTACACTCCTTTCAACACTTCTACCTGCAACTGAATGCTAATTAGACATCTGCTAAACATCTGTCGTGTGCACTAGTATGAAGAGTGCTGGCTGTTGCTCTGACACTTAGTTTTATTAGAGACACAAGATGGGTGAGGCAATATCTTTTACTGGACCAAACTCACTAATTTAATTAATTAGCATTCTGCAGGTATTGAGGCTGGAAATTGCTAGTACGTAACATAAGTGCTCTGGTTCTCAACTGTTCCACTGGTTGACGTGAAACACCTCCAAGAGGGAATTTTTCTGCTGCTCAGCAATAGCTCACATACAAACTTGGATTTCAGAATCTGCTTTTTTTCTTCCTGAGAGTCATGTTGGCCAAGAGGATAGCAGGGTTATGCCCCCTGCAGTTATATTTTAAATAACACCATGAAGCCTATAGCTTCAAGGACAGTCCACCAGAACCGCCAGAGCTGAGGAAAGTCTAACATAAAGGCTAAAACTTATAGTATTGTTGCATTACACCTGTCTAGGCCATGTACTGCATTATAAAGATTTTCTATGCTATGACTAATAGTTGGTTATATTTTGGGTCAGTTACCACCACCAAAAATAGCCATAAGGTATTTATCTTACCCCATTGTAACATACTACTACAACTAGGCTTGGAAGGGTTAGATTTTTATTGGTAAATGTTAATAAAGGTTGATTTCACAATACACATACAAACCACCAAAAATATTTCCATCAATACTAATTGAAATTTACAGATAAGTAAAGTAAGAAAAATGCTGCTTAACAAATTGACATATAATGTTAACGATCCATTATTTGCATGTGACAAGAAGAAAGCTTACCCAGGTGTCTAACTTATCAAACAATCCAGAACATAAGCTTTCATTTCTTTTAAAAAATCTATAATTATAGAACACTTTCTTCCTGGGTTATGGAGAAAATTTTCCAAATGTGAATCATTACACAGCTGTCTTCCCAAGTCTGCAAGCAGACTGCTCTGTATCTCCACTGCTGATAGTTTGGTCAAGCAGCAGAAACTGACAAGACTCTAGCCAATATCACCTTGCTATTCAGAACCCTATGGGTAGCAGTGAAACAATCCAGAAGCATGCTGGTTCCACCTTGCTGCTACTTTGGAAAACCATGAAGAGTACTGCAAAGGCAGGTAATGGAACTATTCACCACGGAGAACACCCCCAAACACAAACAAAAGGAGGCTAGGGGTGGAGACCCATTCCCCCTCTTCCCAGAAATGGAAGTGAAAGAAGTGGAAAATGAGCTACTTCCTTCCAGCACCTTCAAATATGACTTTTGTTAACCAGGCGAAGATGGGGATTGAAGACAGCACTCTAGTAGGAATCTAAGGGCTTGTCTACACTACCACACAGGGTCGATCTAAGGTACGCAACTTCAGTTATGTGAATAGTGTAGTTGAAGTCAACATACTTACTTAGATCTAAGTCGACAGCTGATGCTCTGACATCAACTCTGCTTGCGCTCCTCATTCGTGGAGTATCGGAGTCGACGGAAGAGCTCTCAGCAGTCGATTTATTGCAGGGGTAGGCAACCCCTATGGCACGCGTGCCAAAGGCGGCACGCAAGCTGATTTTCAGTGGCACTCACACTGCCCAGATCCTGGCCACTGGTCTGGGGGGGGCTCTGCATTTTAATTTAATTTTAAATGAAGCTTCTTAAACATTCTAAAAACCTTATTTACTTTACATACAACAATAGTTTAGTTGTATATTATAGACGTATAGAAAGAGACCTTCTAAAAACGTTAAAATGTATTAATGGCACACGAAACCTTAAATTAGAGTGAATAAATGAAGACTCGGCACACCACTTCTGAAAGGTTGCCGAACCCTGATTTATTGCATCTATACTAGACACGCTAAATCGACCCCTGCTGGATCGATCACTGCCCGCTGATCCGGCAGATAGTTTAGACAAGCCCTAATATGCTCCTTTCCAGCACCTGGAGCAAAAGTGGGACTTCACCATGGCATTACTTTTGGATCTCCCTAGCAAGGGTTCCCTTTTTCATCACCTCTGATTAATAGTAAATGTCCAGTAAACTCTTCAGCATTAGTGGCCTAGTGAACTGCATGCTGCAATACATTTGGCTGTCTAATACAGACCTGCTGGGGTGCTGTGAATGTTAATTGTAAGGCACCTTCAGAATGCAGTATACCAAGTATTGGATGCTACACTCCCCAATGTTGTTATGGTTTGGGACTTTGGCTAAATAGTACTCAGAGTCGTGGAAATGTTAACAAATCAGTGGCCCTCCTCGCAGGAGTTATTTCACGTATGGCTACTCTCTACTTTTGCTACTCCTGGACTCTTTCCTATGGGACTTTAATTCCTTATCAGCCCTCCCTTCCCTTCTCTCACCCTCCAAGCTACTCCAATAGATTCTCTGTTTCCCCAGTGCTGTTCCAAACTTCAGTTTCTATCCTTTGGATAACCCTATAGCCTCCAGCCCATTAACAATCACCACCATTTCCCCTTCCCATCCTCCTCACATTGGCTATCTAGCAAGTTTCTTGTCTAAAACTCTTCAGTCTGGATGAACAAATCAGTGGTAGAAGTGGGCCAAGAATGCAAGAGCTCTCTAATTAAATGAACTGCTTTCATTAAATAGACAAGTCACTGGCAGAAAAAGGTAGGAGTAAAAGATAAATCACCCAAAACTGCAATGCCGACAAACCAGAGGATGGTAGCAGAGAATGCCACTGGATCCCCGGCACAGAGGTGCCAGTTATCTGTTCAAAGGTAATATTATGCATCCAGGACCTAAAAAAATAGTGCATTGACTCCTGATTGCTACACTTTGGTGCTGTAGAAAGTCCTTGAGTAGACATGCACTGAAATGCTTACAAAAACATGCAGTAACACAGGCAGTGTGACCTAATGAACCGGAACTCAGTTGACCTGAGCTTTATTCCTAGCTCTGCCACCAGCCTGCTGGGTGACCTTGGGCAAGTCATTTCACTTCTCCGTGCCTCAGTTTCCCCATCTGTAAAACAGGGCTACTGATAACGATCTCCTTTGTAAAGCCTACACGAGAGCTAGCGATCACTGGTATTGTAAGGGGCGCACACACACCTGCCACGGCAGGAGGAGTTTCTAAGGGCTGGCGCTTCCTTCCCAACGGAGCTGCTGCCGCTCAGAACCGTGTGGTGCCGCGCTGCGCCTCTGCCCCGGGGCGCGGGGTCGGGGCTCCCCGCCAGAGGCCGGGGGGGGTCCGCGGGGGGGCTCGCTACTTTCTGAGGTACGAGATACTGGCGAAGTAGGGACGGCCGGGCTGAGCCCGCGTGGCAGCGGCCGGGGCTCTCGCGGGGCTGCTGTGCGCCCGTCTGTCCTAGAGAGCCTCAAGAGGGCCACGGGGGGCACCCACCCCCAGCCTGCCCCCTTTACACATAAAGGCTTTGCTCAGAACCGGGAGAGGAGGGACGCAGGATTAGGAACTAGTCCATCAGGCAGCGCATGCGCACGCTTCGCCCCCCCCATCACCCTCCACGAGCGGCCCGAGCCCCGCCCACCTCGGGTCAGTGCTCATGCGCACCGGGCGTTCCGGTGGGGGCGGGGGGAGATGAGCGTACTGCTCCCCAATATGGCAGACTTCGACACTATCTATGAGCTAGAGGAGGAGGAGGAGGAGTCCGAGCCGGTGGTGAGGAGCCAGGAGCTGCCCCGGCCCCGAGACGCGCCAGACCCTGTGGCGGTACGGGGCGCCGGGCACATCACCGTGTAAGGCGTGGGGGCTTATGGGGGCTAGTGGGGGCGGGGGCGAGGGTGAGGGTGAGTGAGGGGCGGTAGGCAGGTGGAAGGGGGCCTGAGGGAGCGTGGGCAGCAACCCCGCGGGAGGGGGGAGGGGAGCTGCAGGCCAGTGGGGATGGGGGCTGCACTGCTTAGAGTCCTTGCTGAGCAGTCAGATCCGTGCTGGTGGGGATGCTGCTGCTGCTGCTGCGGGTGGAGGTGATCAGGAAGAGTTCTTGGCTTCGGGCTGTTCTGTCAACACTACCACGAATAATGCAACACAAGTAGCTCCCTGCCTAAGGGCTTTGTGACTCAGGCCTGGCTCCTTGACATCTTTGTTTCTTTTTTGTATGCTTTGCCTTAGGCTGGGAAACATCCTATTTTCCAGCAACTTGGGTCAACCAAAAACCCTGTCTGGACATGTGAAATTCGCGTATCTATTATCTGCAGAAAAAACAGCTAACCACTTAATATTTTAGGTTCATTGCCCGAGACTGAAAATAGTTCCTGCTTGGGTTAACTTTTAAACACCACAAGACAACAGAATCAATGGATGATTCAAGTGTCTGTCCCCATAATTTTACTATATTCCTTCTTGGGCTCAACTCAGCCATTGGGCCTCCACACTGTACTGCAGAGAGAGGACATATGACTATGTTGTGTTGTAAATTTAAAACATTTGAGTTACTGAGTTTGATTTTTACCATGGGCAGTTCAGAAGTTTTATAATTAGAAAATCTGAAACAAAATTAAATAAATCCAGGCATTTTGCCATTATTTTATAGTATCATAATACATAGAATGATCAAGCAGCATAATGCACTGTTATGTCAACTGTTTAAAAATAGGCCATTTCTTACCAGTGAAGAAATTGAACATAAGGCAACGTACAGATTATAATTTATCTTACACACTAAATGGGATGGGGAATCATCAGTATTTCACATTTGTGTATTGTATAACTCCATAAACCATGTTTCATCTTGTGCTTGTGTTCGGACTGTTAGAAGACGATGCATTTCTCTCTGTGGTGTGATCTAATGGTTTGAAGGAAAGGCATGGGGAATAAGAGAATCTTGCATCCTAATAGACACAGTATCAAATCTAGTTTTGGTTCTCTCTGTAAATCCCTAAATCAGGTTTGGTTTGAGCTAATATTTATGTACAGGTTACTCCATGGCACCACATAATTTCTGCTTGTGCTGATGAGGATCCTCTCTATGATGGCATTAGTCTCCAAGGCAGTCTTTTATTTACATTTTTCTGGTGTACTGGGAGCTTTCAAAACACAAAAATACAAAGTTCCTGCCCCAAATAGCATACAGTCTAAAAAGGACAAAGGATGGGGATAAAAGTGATGTAACACAGCAGCAAAGTGATTGGAATAATAGGCACATGTCTTACTAATTATGCAGTTAGTATTTAAAACATGTTTTAGATCAAAATTAGCTTCAATCACACATTTGTTTACTTCTCTCACAACTGTCTTTGTGCTCTCTTCCCTGATGCCTGTATTGCATCAGTGCCTTCACTGAACTAATCCTTAGATCTGCTTCTCTTTCAGTTCCCTTCTCACAACCCAGCTCTAGTGTGATACCTACAAGAAATCTGTAAACTAGTGATGTCTAAGTCAGGGGTAAAAGAAAGCAATATGTTAAATGATTCAGTATCATCAAGTTGTGTACTTGGCCTATATAACTGCATGATCTTATTATTGGTATTCTCATCCTCCCTCCCCACCTCTTTGAATAAGAAAGGTATGGCAAATAGAAATGATGGTATAGTGGTCTTTATTTCCTAGTCCCAGTCATGTGATACAGGTCACTCTTACATCTTAAAACACCTCAAACTAATACAATAAGTCAATTAATAAAACTCAAATGGACTCTAGAAGGTCAGAGTAGGTGATGCTGACCCCCTGGCAAATGAGAACTATTGTGTCTCTTAATGGACTCTGTCAGTACATGCTATCTCTTTGTGATCATAAAGCCACTTCTTCTGTTGGAAACAATACCTTTCAGAAGTGGCCTGTTGGATAGGCCAGGAGGAGGCTTGTTTGTCTCCTGAAGATGCCTAGAATGCTCCTGATAGCACTCCTGTTCTGACAGAAGTAATAGAGCAGGGGTCGGCAACGTTCGGCACGCGGCTCGCCAGGGTAAGCACCCTGGCGGGCCGGGCCAGTTTTATTTACCTGCTGACGCGGCAGGTTTGGCCGATCGCGGCCCCCACTGGCCGCGGTTCGCCGTCCCAGGCCAATGGGGGCGGCGAGAAGCGGTGCGGGCGAGCGATGTGCTGGCC